CTCCCGACCTCAGGTGATCCGCCCACCTTGGCCTCCCAAAGTGTGATTACAGGCATGAGCCACCGCGCCTGGCCCTATTGCTGTAGTTATTTTGTCTGCAGAGTCCTCAGGTCACGCATGGAGGTGGCTTGGCAATCTGGACGGGGAGACGGGGGAAATGAGGGATTCAGGCAGTAAAAAAAAAAAAACAGCAAAAAGGAGCATATTGAGGAAACTTCTAGCGTGCCTCCTGGGGATTCACAAGTTCCACAATCAGCCTGTGCCAATCTATTGTTCTCTCTGTTGCTGGGGCCTGAGCTTGATGTTATAATTCTGGGAAGACTTCCTTGGAGAACACTTGATATTATGGAACAAATCACATTATAGTAAACTATTCCTGTTCTTTTATGGTATCAGTAAACTGTTTCTGTACTTTTATAGCATCAAATATTTAAAATAGGTGGGCCTTGAGCAAAGGACCAGAAGCCTCTTTTGTACTAGAAATGTGTAAATTGTGGTTGTTACTTTTGAAATGCCATGTGGTGCATCTCAGAAAATGCTGATGTGGCATCCTGCCACATTCCAGCAATAAATTCGGTTTACCATTGGCTAAACCAAGTTATAACCTAAGCCCATATGCACTGAAAAAACTGTTGTGTTAGTTCAGACTGAAAGGAAGAATGGACCCAAGTACCCTTACATAATCGGCCCTCCTGCATTCTGGCATCTATTGCCCATCTTCCTTCTCAGTTCCTCACCTTGTTCCTCTCCTACCTCCATTCTCCCTCCTCCTTTTCCCCTCCCTTCCTCACCCTCTTTCCTTTTTCTCCATCTTCTTCAACCTCACCCAGACAAGCAGGCTGTGACCTGATTGGTTAATCCCTGTCCAGCATAGGGAGTCCTTAAAAGGCAATTTTGGGTTCAGGCACTGGTCCAGTCAGTTGGAGCCAGTGGAACATTTTGTTTTCCTGGAATACATGTTTGCTTTTCTCAGAGGGAGCAGTAGGGAGCAATGTAATTGCTAGATGTTTTTGATACTTGAGGCCTATCTATTTAATAGTTAAGTGAATTATTTTGGTGCACTTATATATTTTACTTGTTTTTTTATGTGGCAGAAAATGTATGAAAATACTCTGAGAGCTGTAAAACTATGTAATATGAAGATGTTTTATGAAAAATGTTATATCTTACTGAAACCATCTAGCGGGGCTAGGCACAGTAATCCCAGCACTTTGGGAGGCCAAGATGGGAGAATTGCTTAAGGCCAGGAGTTTGAGACCAGCCTGGGCAACATAGCAAGACCCCATCTCTACAAAATTAAAAAAAAAGAAAAAGCCAGACATAGTGGTAGGCTCCTGTAGTTCTAGCTGCTTGAGAGGCTGAGGCAGTAGGATCACTTGAGCCCAGGAGGTCAAGCTGCCGTGAGCTATGATCACACCACTACACTCCAGCCTGGATGACAGAGCGAGACCTGTCTCTTTAAAAAAACTATTAAAAACAAACAAACAAACAAACAAAAAACCATCTGATGAAATAAAGCCTGTCTTTCTTGTTTTTGGAATCATGTAGCAAAATGTAAATGAATAAGTTTATGATGGTAAGTAGAACTTTTAAATTCAATTTACTATTTTTAATGGAAAGTGTTAGGCTTGTTTCAAATAGCTTTGTATGGGTTTTTAGTTAATGAAAAATTTCCAAATGTATTTCTCTATCTCCATCAAAAGGGAGAATTACCAAGATCTTCATCACACATCTTCATGGAGACCATTTCTTTGGCCTTCCTGGGCTCCTCTGCACAATCAGCCTGCAGAGTGGCTCCGTGGTGTCCAAACAGCCTATTGAAATCTATGGCCCTGTAGGGCTTCGGGACTTTATCTGGCGAACCATGGAACTCTCTCACACGGAGCTGGTCTTCCGTTATGTGGTTCATGAACTGGTTCCTACAGCGGATCAATGTCCTGCAGAAGAATTAAAAGAATTTGCACATGTGAATAGAGCAGGCAGTCCTCCCAAAGAGGAACAAGGAAGAACTATCCTATTAGACTCAGAAGAAAACTCGTACCTTCTGTTTGATGATGAACAGTTTGTTGTAAAAGCATTTCGCCTCTTTCACAGAATTCCCTCATTTGGGTTTTCAGTCGTGGAAAAGAAACGCCCAGGTAAACTCAATGCACAGAAACTAAAAGACCTTGGTAAGTGTCTTTTTTTGTTTTTATGCTTTTCCCCCCCTTCTCATCAATAGGGCTCCTGTTAACTGAAGCTATAAGAAGTGTCATAGTAAGGCCAGGAGTGGTGGCTCATGCCTGTAATCCCAGCACTTTGGGAAGCCGAGGCGGGCGGATCACTTGAGTTCAGGAGTTCAAGACCAGCCTTGGCAACATGACGAAACCCCATCTCTACTAAAAATACAAAAATTAACTGGGCGTGGTGGCATGCGCCTGTAGTCCCAGCTACTTGGGGGGCTGAAGCAGGAGGATCACTTGAACCCGGGAGGTCAAGGCTGCAGTGAGCCAAGATGGAGTTACTATACTCCAGCTTGGGTGACAAAGTGAGACTCTGTCTCAAAAAAAAAAAAA